ATATGCTGGCTACTAGGGTGACCTTTTAACCTGAACGATTCCCAGAATATGCGATTCATCACAATGCGGTTGTTTACTTGTTTACTTGTTTATCGGAAGATGTATTAGGATAGGAGGAAGAAGCAACCAATGAGATTGGAGTGACCAGAGTTCAGATGTTTGGATAAATTAACTACAGAAAACAATATTTAAAGATTATGCAAAAGATTGGAAATTATTTTAAAAGTGCATTAGAGGTTTAAAAAGTACTTAAAGTCAGAATAATAGTAATTAGAATTCAATTTGAAATTTAAAGTAATTATTGCAAATTTCGAAGGAGTTACAAATATGGAGATGTAAATCTACAAAGTTAACGTAAACCTAGTATGAAATGAACGGCCGGGATAGACAGGATTTCAGTGGAAAGCTGAATCTTGACTGCCTTGGTTGCATTTCATTCTCTAGACTTCCGCGGCTTTTATCAAATAATTAAATTTTCACATGGCTTAATTTATTTACAGGTTACATTTTAATATTAGAACTTACAATGTTAAGTATATTGTAAGAAATTATTTATTGTAATCATAACGATTACAAATAGATTGTTTAATTTAATAAAAAGTGGAAAGCTAAATCTTGACTGTCTTGGTTGCATTTCATACAGGTTGGGTAACATCTCCACTCCCCAACCATGGCCGCCGCTCTGGTCCAACAAATTTAAAAGGAATTATATAATAAAAGAGAATAGCGAAATTGAGTAATCCCGGTACCTCAACAAATTTAAAAGGAATTATATAATAAAAGAGAATAGCGAAATTGAGTAATCCCGGTACCTCCACAAGCCATGCGAGTCCAGAAGGAAAATATTGAATAAAGATGAAGATATAGCATGTCATCCCGGTACCTCTTCACGAGTTCCAGTGAATGAGGGTAACCTGATTATTGGAAAGCGAACTATAAATACTTGTTTATTTTTTTTAATAAGATCCTGGTGGATATCAAACATATGCATGATCGGCCCAATGTCATTCGGGACTCTGCCTTCCTAAACCTTTGCTGGTTAGGATTTAACATCAATTAAGGCTGGAGTCCAGAATGAGATTGACCCGGTTATGATATTTTCGTGAATGTTGCAGAACAACCTCCGAGGTCGAGAAATGTTGTTTGAAAGATAAAAGCCGAGGCATCATTAACGACAACAAGGACTTTATTTGTATTCTTCCTTGTCTACAACAATCGCTAAAACACGGCTGATCGTTTCCTCTATAGAGAAACTAATTAGGTCACCATGTCTTGATTTCGCTGTTCTATATAACACCAGAGGTAAAATTTGTTTGCCTACCTGTGTATGGAATGCAGACGATTTGAGCTTTCGTTACATTAAAAATAGCATTTTAAATTACAAATTTGTTCGTAATATGTATTGATCAGTTATAATGAATATTCAATAACAAAATCATGTTCCTGTTTTACTGCTTTATTGGGACTAAAATCACGTTGTTTAAATGTGTAGGGAGGTCAGTGGAATAGCCCCGCTTATCTATAAAAACCGACATTCATCAACAACTTTATGCAATTTACAGTGTTTATACTGCAAAAGACGACACAACGATGTGGTTTAAACAAGTATTTCATTCTACAACCAAACATGTATATGAAGTCTTCAAGTTTGATACATGTTTCTGATCTAATAATTTTTTGATGACCTTCATGATTTATTGGAAAATAATGTCCGCCGCTTTTCTTTGATCTTTGCAATAATCGTGGTAGAATTCCATATAATCCTGATTTGACAATGCAATGCTGAAACAAAAGGTGATACAAGTAGTCCAAACAGGGAGCAAATAGGAGAAGGTTCAGGGCTGGTTTAACTGTCCGGCAAGGTAATCTTTCTTTTCCTTAGTACATATTTTCTCTTGTTTTACAAGCATCCGTGTTTTTTTTTTTTTTTTTTTTGTTCTGTCTTAGAAGGATTAATGAGATCGATTACTGTTCCTTATCTTTTTCTTTACTAAAGTATAAATATCACAGATTTTTTTCAGAAATAGCAATATTTTTTTCATGAAATATTCATAAAATTATATTCAAATAAGTAACCTGATTAATATTTACAGGATTAATTGGGGGAAATTTGTAAGAATTTAATGTTATTTTTTTTTATTATAGAAAGAAAGAAAATGTAACGATTTTTTTTTATATTTCAGGCATTTATCATTTACTGTAGAAGCACAAATTTTCGTGGAGATAAATTTTCGTTGAATGGTCATCTAAAATAGTTTCATGGGTATTAAATTTTGTTGTTTTGAAATTAAACCTATTAAATATATATTCGTGTAAATATTCGTGTGGGATATAATTCCGTTAATTGATAACAACGAAATAAACGAAATTTAAGCCACACGAATATTTCTGCCTTTATAGCATGTCATTTCTTTTCAAAATCATTCAAAAAATATATATTAATCCAGGCATCATGTGTGTTTGTTGTGTGTATCCGTAAGTATATTATCTTTTTTATTTAATTAAAATGAATATTCTCTTACATTTAAGGTGTTTTATATTCATATACAAACAAAAGCTTTTTCGAAATTATATTATTGTCATGTTGTAAGTTTTGAATTGTAAACTTTGTATTTACTGCCACCCGGTAAATTCAAAATTTACAACATGACATAATGAAAGAAACTTGTGCACTTCTTTTGTAAACATCGAAATAAAATTCATGATCTATTGAACATGAATGATTTATGTACTGGTACATGTATCTCTGGATAATTCATGGTTTCAAATTTTAGTCATAAAACGAGAAAACAATGAAATATCTATCATGAAATATTAAATCTTAACTTCAGAAAATCGAAGACTATGGAAACAGTGAAATGGTATTTTTCAATTATGTGAATAAAATCGAAAATCCATTGACCGTCGCGAGACTTTTAATGAGTAATGGTCATGTTCAATGTTATCTAAATACTGAGATGTCTATGGAATTTCCATTTTCCTAATCACAACCAGAAGCACACGATAGATGTGACTGGTCAACATGGAGTGCTTATTCATCCATGACACCTGATTCACTTCTGATGTTTTAAAAGTCCTTATTTGCTCTTCGCATGATCTGTATTGTTTAAATGAACTTTTGAGCATGATTACTCTTCGTATCTTCATATTTCATAAAAATTTTGAAAAAAGATTCCAATAGGAGAATCAGAATAAATTAGTTTACATGTAACTGTATATTTTTTTTTATCATAATAATTTTTCTAAACATAACTTTCTCCATCTCTGCTGACAACTCATGCATGTTTCGTAAGCTTCCAACTATTTAAAAGATGTCACTCTTGTTTTAAAATTTGACCATGCACCTTTTATTTCCTAAATAAATGATTGTTTTTCGGGAAGATCATTTAAGTTTTAAATTTTTTTAGGTATTAAAAAGTTAAAGATAACGTAAAGTGAACAATCTTATAATCAAAAGGCAACAAGCATCCCATGGTGATAGGTCACAACCGCCGGGAGCCAAATGTATCATTTGACTTTTGAACAGGTAGATTGAATATCAAATTTAGTATGGGCCACAAAATTAATGTCAAATATATATATGAATAACCATTAAAAGGTTGTTTTTGATAACAAGTCATTTTATGAACCATGAAATAATTTCGACAAACCGATTTAAAGTGAAGCTGTTGAAATTCATGTAACATCAGCTTATTTGTCTAAATATTTTTTTCATTATTGAAAATGATCATTCTCGCATCGAACTCTTGAGAATCGAATAAGTTAGGACAAATCAATACAATAAACTGGTGATCGTGGAATATAATTGCTTTTCGTCATTTCGTTTGTCATAGAGTTTAGTTGTTAGTTGGCCCGTATCGCATTAATCAGTTAAAATCCAAATGTTAAATGAAATGTGTTGAGATAACGAACGGTATTCAAGCTCTGAAGTCCATTAAACATTACAAAATAGGATCAGAGAAAGCACAGACTTCTAAAACATTGGAGTAGGGACCAGGTGTTATGGATGTGTATTCCCTGCCGTATGCTTTTTGTCATGATCGGGAAATAACGGAAAAAACCGTCGACAATTCAGTGTGTAAATAATGGTCTAACAATTGGCATGAAAACGTCAGTCGGCATTTGACAATGATAGAAACAAAGTGAACTGACTCCGGGTTTGGAGTTGGAATAAATATGGAACCCAATCATCCCTCACGTATCATCTTCAGACTACTTATATGTAGAATTAGAGTATTCCTTTTCATATTAATTTTGTAGATGACCAAAAACAAGATATTTGAAATTTTTTGAGCTTCATTTTTATTCAAGACACTGATATCAAAGAACTTTTTTTTCATTTAAACATTTGCTCCCAGCCTTAGATTCGAGAATGAGATTAATTTAGGACGCATAATCATTTTTTTGGTTTGGTTGGATTTTATTTTTCGTTTGTTTAGGGTTTTATTGTTTGTTTGCTTTTGTTTTTGTTGCTGTTGTTGTCGTTGCTTGTCATGGTCTTATCGAAAGGACTGGTTTCAAACGAACGAAACCACAACAGAAAATTCAACTCTTTTCTACGCGACTCTTTAGATAAAGTTTTTACAACTGCACCACATACTTACACAGAGTAGATTCACTGATATCCCGTTCTAATTTTGTAAGGATATAATTTTATGAACGTAAAAATACATTAAAATTCATTGACACGAGGAAGAAAAATGTTTCGCAATAAAATATTTAATAAAAAAAAGTTATGACTTAATAAAGGGATATATGCCCGCCTTCTGTCTTTGCGTAGATGCGGACTTCACAAGCTTGGTGTGCTTTTCAGCGCAAAGACCTGATTTCTTTTCCCGATATTCTGTAAATAACCTATACGTTATCGTTTCCAAAAATAAAACCTCAGAGCTGGAAAGAGCGTGAACAACTCCTTGTACAGGTCACATAAGTTTACATAAGTCAGAGCATTCTTGAAAGCTTTGAACAAAAGACTTTTTAAAATTTTTAAATCTACTTACCAAAATTTGGAAAGTATGCTGCGTCTGTATTTTCTGGACACAAACAAACAAAACATAAGATGAAGAACTTTAAAGAATGCACGAAAAGAAACATGTCCATTTCTTTTCTATTCAGATCAATTTCCCTGCACGTTCTTGGTTTTTCTTAAAAAATAGAGCAAAATAAATGTTTGTGAAAATAGTCTTTTGATTGATATTCCAAACTTAACAGATGTCACTTGACTGTGTGGGGACTTTTATATTAAAATGTTATTGATTTATGTGAAATTTCAAGTACCCCGCTGTACAGTAGTTATAGATTTATAGAAAAAATGACACCTTTTAAATTAATCTGTAATGTATTATATATCTATAGCAAACATAGAAATAAATGTTTAAAAAGTATAACAATTTCAAGATTGTATGATATTGAAAAGATTTAAACTTTTATGTCAGATATTTATTAAACCCAAACATAAAACCGTATTATAGACTTGAGAATTGGGACCGTGTATTGATTAGCTTTCTGTGCTTTCTAGTGTTTTGTAAAAGAAAGGTCTTCAATATGTTTCGATTCTAACAACTTTCTTATTAACTCAAATTTATTTCATTACAGAAGAGAGATCTCAAGAAATCTAGATTAGGTTACTATAATGGCGATAAAGGGGAATTTATTGTTTTTTGTTTAAAACATTTTTATGTCTTCCAGAAAAGGGTACTTATGAATGAGAGGGGTTTTATGGGGTTGGGGGAAGAAGATAAGTATAGGTTAAAAATTAACAGCAGACAACACATTTTTGTTGATCGATACATATTTTGATTTACGAGTATGATGATAATTTTTTTTTAATATATAACAACATTGATATATGACAAAACAATTTGTTTTAATCAGATAATTCCTCCATATCATTTATGTAATATTGGAAATCAGTGCTGGAAACGTTGAGGAAATGAAGGAAAAGAAGCCCAACAAAAGCATTAACGATAAATTAAAACTTTGTCCTTCTTAACTAAGGTCTGAAAAACATCGCCATCTTTAGGTTAATCCAGTTAGTTAATAGCATTTGTGACATTTAACAATTGATCGGAAAATTCCATATTGGTCCCTCTTACAAGTGCTTCAAAGAAATAAGTTCGATATTTCGACCAAAAAAGCTTTCATAATTCATGATCTATGATATCAACATATAAACATTATAGACAAGGCGTCACATTTCCAGCAGATTTAACAGCCGATATTCTTCATCATGTTGACGTAAATAATTCATTCCATTTAGTTTTAATACTCCGTTAAAATAAGATAATAAAAATAACTAGTTTTAAAGCAGATGCTTATATTGGATTGAACTCAGCGAGGAGGATTTTGGTCAGATTGTCACCATTACACACCTGAATAGAAGAGTATATGTATTCCAAAAGGATGTTACCCTTCTTTTGATCGTTAATGCTTTTGTTGGGCTTCTTTTCCTTCATTTCCTCAACGTTTTCCAGCACTGATTTCCAATATTACATAAATGATATGGAGGAATTATCTGATTAAAACAAATTGTTTTGTCATATATCAATGTTGTTATATATTAGTATTACTCTCTATTTAGAGAAAGATGATTGATAAAATTCCTTTGTTGGGTATTTGCTTTTTAAAATTGGGGGGGGGGGGGTGTTAAAACTCTTTCCACACAGAACTGAACATCTGAGTTGTGAAGAATCGAATGCTAGACTGAGTATAGCCAGATTGAAATGTGAAGATTTTTTCAACAACTTTTCATTATTTCTAATATTATATCTACAACCCAAGGTATATTTTGGACACATTTATCAAAATCAAATATAATTGTCAAACGAAGAATAAAAAGGTTATAAAAATATTATTCCTTTTATTCTCTTCCTTTTCTGGAAAGAAAAGGAATTTGATTCTCTTCTTGATACGGGGTTTCCTTTTTTCAAGAGAAAAAGTAGGGAATGAAAAGGGGTACTTAAAACTTCAGCGTTAGACAGCTACTGCACAAACAGATTCATTATTATGCCTGTCTTTCTAAGCTACCGTTAACATTTTTTTTTTGTTCGTTATAGATGGCGGGAATTGTCATTCTATGTCCTCACAGGAAACTAACTAGTGCTAAAAATCTGATGTTTTCCTGTTTTTTTTTTTTTAACGATTTTGATATTTTACATGCACGTTCCTGGCATGTAAAATATCAAAATCGTTTAAAAAAAACAGGAAAACATCAAATTTTTCGCAACCAGCTATGGGGCCTAAACGGTGCTTGAAGTAACAAGTTGCGTTCCAGTCTGCCCATGAAAACATTGGCATAAGACGGTTCCATTTTCGTACCCATATCAGTGCCATTAACCTGCAGGTAATGTTCTCCATTGAACATGAATTTGTTGAACTTGAGAACATGTTCAAGGAGCTTGGCAAGGGACTCGGTAGAAGGAATTTGTATGGATCTACTATCCCAGACTTCTCTACAGGCTTCGATACCCTCATCGTGTGGAATATTGGTGTACAAAGATGTGACGTCCATAGTCACGAGGAGGGTATGATTTGGGAGGCCAGTAGAGGGCGTCTTGTTAATGTAGTCCGTGGTGTCCTTGAGATAGGATGGCAATTCTCTACGTGTGGACGGAGATGTAAATCAATGAATTCAGAAATTTTCTTCGTGGGATGTCCAATTGCGCTGACTATGGGGCGACCTGGCATGCCTTCTTTGTGTATTTTAGGAAGCAGATAGAATTGTCCTGGTCTACAGTCAATAGGATTTAAGGTCTCATAGACGTTGATACCAATCTCATTTTTTCAAACATATCGTCAAGAGTTTTGGCAATGGCGGTGGAGAAGGAACATGGTGCAAGACTCATACGTTGTTATTGTGGTATTGAGTTGTGTGGGGGATATCTTTAGCTATTATTGTCTATTATACAGAGTGGTTTAGGTGAAAGTGTTAACATTTTCAAGTACATTCTTCATTGAAGCTGTTTTAATTTTGGATAATGATTTGCCTAAAAACAATGTTTTGTTTCATCTGCAAAACTACCAAATTTAAAATAAAATTACCTCTTTGAATGCTTCTTGAAATAGTGAAAAAAAACCTCTAGTTTTGTTTTTGCTAAAATTTGAAGATTCATACTAAACTTTTGCATGTCCTTCGTTGAAGGACACGTAAATTCCGTTATGACAATGATATAACACTAAATCAATGAGATTCTGCAATGTTTCAGCCGTACTTATCCTTGAATTCATCAAATGATAGGCTTGCTGTTAAAAGCACAAGTAATGGGCATAAAATAAAATGGACCAGAAATGGCAACCTTACATATTATAAACTTTATTATTAAGTTTTCAGTCGATGCGTTCAATAATACGAACACACTTTTTAAAACAACAGTTTGTTATTATATATTTATTCTTGAAAATCAATTGTGCTCTCAGATATTATATGACAGATCGGAAAGCTCCTGTCATACGAGAAGCCAAACAAGACACGAGTATTAAAACAACAGCGCAGTTGGGAAGAGGTTTCGGTAGAAAGGGACTTGAAGATAATCATGCTGACCAAAGTTGTTTTCTTCGAAAACTACTCACCTGTCTGGGGACTTTTTTATAGCAAAAATATTAATAGATTTTTTATGAAGAAGCCATGGCAAGAATAGTCTTAAATCTGTAGGGCTTTTTGGTATTTTCCGTTAAACATCGAAAGATTATTGTGAATAGGATCATGCATAGATTGATTGATTGATTGATTGTATACTGTATAATGTTCCTCTCGAGAATTTTTCACTCATATGGAGACGCCACCACTTGCCGTTGGAGAGCTGCAAATTTTGTCCTATACTCGGCATTCAGAGCAATTGAGCAGTGAGGGATCTTTTTCGTGCCAGCACCTACTGCGACACGGGACCTTGGTTTATACGGTCTCATCCGAAGGACCTGTCTCCATGTCCTATGTACAGTGGGATTCGAATCCGCAACGTAAGGATCATCTCCTTACTTCGCGACTCTAGAGCAGACGCTCTAACCACTGCGCAACGCGGGCGACATCATGCATAGAAAATTTAAATGGAAGTAAATAATTAATTCATTTCAATGGTTCAAATAGAGCCGAATTTGTTTTTGTTACTTGATGATCTGATCTCTAAAGTTATCGTCCAGTAATATTTTGACTGACCATTAATTGACATTTCGTCAGGGGAAATAGTGGTGGAGATGGTGGCCCGAATAGATTTGGATGTATGTGGTACACGTCTATTTAGATCAAGAAACATTAACTCTTTGAGTCTTTTATTTACTGTTGATTTCATCCCAGATATAGACATTCCAAAATATTTTTTAAAACTCTAATCAATGTATTGAAGTATAAATTTTACTTTCGTTAGGGAAAAGAACTCATTTTTGGACACATAATCTTTTAACAACAGTAAAGTACTGCTGCAAAACTCTTAAGGAAGTAATTTCTAGGAGACCGGACATTTTATTTTCTTTAATTACATTGTAAAGAGGATGGAAAATTGTGATCTATAGAACTCTAGGGTTATTCAAGGTATTGACTCTGTTCTCCAGGTCCCATAAATATCTTGTTTGTGGTTATGTACCATCGTAAGACCATCATTATACTTGGTGCAATATGATTTTTTATTTTCATGATTAGATTTTCCCTAGAAAACGTCTTGTATCATTTACCATCTGTTACTTGTAAAGTCATAAAATAATGAAGAAATATAAACATAAAACCGAGAACTTTTTTTCATTTAAAGGTAGGTCTAAGAGAAGAATGTCTGAAATGTTATTCCAAAATCATCAACTCTACAGTCATGTCTTTTAATACTAGTTTCAGCAACAGGTCTTCTACAATCCACATTTCGGTGGAATTTCAGATCTCTCTTGATCTATGGATATATTTCTCTCCGGTCCTTTTAGTTGTTGGTGCATTTGGAAATACTGCCAGCATTTTCATCCTTACACGCCGATCCTTTAGGAAATCTACGTGTATGTTCTATCTAACAATGTTGTCAGTGGCAGATCTTATGGTTTTATATACGGCATTGCTCCGATTTTGGATTCGCTCTGCCTTCTCCGTCGATATACGTACTCTATCGATATGGAGCTGTAAGATTCATGCTTTTCTGGTGTACTTTGCAATGGATTTCTCTTCCTGGGTTTTGATGACAGTCACCCTTGACAGATTTGTTCTCGTTTGTTTTCCCTTTAAAGCCTATCTTTTTTCCACAATGAAGAAGGCACCATACGTCCTGCTGTTTGTGGTCTTGTTCTTAATTTTTGTCAACAGTCATTTCTTTGCCACGGTTACCATTAAGGATACATCATGCACGTACGAAAATGAAATAACCATGAAGGTCTGGCCGTGGGTGGATTTAATTGTGTGTAACCTAATCCCATTTTTAGTCATGCTGGTGTGTTCGATTATGATTTCTAGGAAGGTTCTTCAAACAAAAAAACGTGTTGCTGCCCAGAATTCACTATCCGTGCCTGAAGAAAGTGTAATTCCATCAAACGACGGAAGACAAATTCTGAAAACATCTTCAATTACTATCATGCTACTGACCATAATCTTTTCTTTCTTCTTGCTAACTCTTCCTCTCGTTGTCTTTAAAATTTCCCTGCCGTACTGGATTCTGGTGGTCACCAATTCAGAACTACAAATGTTAGAACTTGTTCGAACAATATTCAGCATGTTATCGTACACAAATCATGTGATTCATTTCTTTTGTTGCCTCAGCGGAAGACGATTTCGTCGAGAGGTCAGGCGTGTTACATGTTGTTATAGGAAATGAATGACGGAACTATAAAGAGCAGATTTAAACTTTTGGAAACAGTCGGGCAGGACAAAATATCTGGTACTTACAAAGAAGTGTGTCATTTAAGAAAAAACATACGTTAATATTATTATCAATATGAAACTTTCCAATATGAGAAAATTATTTTTAGAAAATTTTGCGAACTACTTAACTCAGTTTCTTTTTTCATTTTAACAGAAAATGAATTTTTAAAAATTAATTTATTTATTATTTATTTATTATTATTATTTTTTTTTTGATTACACTAAGAGACTAACGCTGTGCAACATATGCCATTCTTTCGATTTAAACAGTAACATTCGCGTTCTAAATTTTATTACCAGAATGTTTTCGGTACTTTAAGAGGTAAAAACTATTTTTCGCAAACATATTCTTATCCACTTCTTTTGTATTTCGAATTCATCATCACACCTACCAAGAAAAAAATTTTGCTAATTGTATTTAGAAATTGTTTTCATTATTCAAATGAAGCTTGTATTTCTTTGAGCACTTTTCAGTTGATCATTGAGTGTCTTTGTTATCAAATATATAAATAAATTATATATACAAGGAACTTTTTCTATATTGAATTTTTCTGAGTAAGATTTTGTAATCATATGTAATTAAACAATTATAATTACTCCAGTGAAATGGCATTACTTAGTATTTTGCTAGGTCGAAAATATTTTTTAAAATAATAATAATAATGATAATGATAATATTAATAAAATAATAATAATTAAATAATAATAATAATAATAATAATAATAATAATAAAATAAAAATAAAAAGATAAAACAATTTCTCCACTTTAACAGAACATATAAGACTCTATTTTCTTAAATAAAGTTGATTCATTTTCAGAAACAATTTTAATGCTGGTTAATAGGATAAGTAAATCAATAAAGAAACTTCTAATTTGGACCACTGTCAACTATTAACATCAAAAATATTTAGCTCTCATCAGTCACCTCTCAATTGAGCATTTCTAATCAAAAATTGTCCTTTATATATGTTTAGTTGTCTTTGTGTTTTCGTTATTTCGACTTCTTCAATAAAATCAAAATCCAATTTTAATAAAACGAAAGCGGTGAAGGAACATTGACCTCAAATCACTTTAAAACATACAAATCTGTTAAAAAGGCATAAGCACGAATTCCTGGAAAATGAAGAAAAGGATCAGTTGCCAAGGAGGAGTAAACATGCCCTGTTGACAGATTGTTCCTACTATGAACCCTTTGTATTGATCAGGTAGACGGAACATTCTGCAGTCACATGAGTTTATGTCTCCCAACTTATCAAAAGTTTTTTTTTTTTTTTTTTTTTTTTTTTTTTTTGAGTAGGATTAATTTTGTAAGCCAGGCATGCTACTCAATGATAAGTTGAAGTTACAGGAATTTCAACAACTTCGTTTAAAATCGGCATTCCATGAAATTTTATTGTCGTTACATTTGTATAATTACCTTGTTAACTTTATATA